TTTTCAGAATGTTGTGTTTTTGTATTCATGTTTGAAAATACATAAAATTGATCTGTGAAGCACGTCGTGCTGTGTGAATTACATTTGCTTGCGGATAATTTTGGTTATTTAAAAAACTACACTCAATTAGTGCACGTTGAAGGCGTCTGCGAATGGCCCCTTCACCACCTCTCGAGAGAATTGTAAATTTAATTACTTCAGCGAAACCACTTGTTAAAACTCCCATTCCCTTGTCAATTATACGTACACGTCCTATATGTTGTGTTAATAAACAGATTTTCAAAAAGATACATATTATAACCGATTGTCAAGTAACAGAGAGTTCCGTCAATCTAATTTTAAGTATAAAAAAACCCACGACACTTGAAGTTCACTTCCTCTCTACGCCAGTACGTCATGACGTCACGCACGTTTGGGTTCCGCGCCGTTTGCGGCAGACATGAACACGAATCCCACGTCTAGCCAGACGGACCCGAATGAGCTGTTTTTCTCTCCGGCGGCGGCGGCAAAGGCTTCGACATAAGCATGTCCAGGCCCGACAGGTAGGGGCGACGTGTGAGAAACGCGTCGCGTATTTGTTGTACCGCGTTGTGGCGCCGAAACGGAGGGGAGTTAGCAGGCGAACGTGGCTGGTTGGCTCACTTGCTCCCCGCAAATTGCTAGCAGCAGATAACATCACTTGGACATAAAAGAGTGACTGACGTCTTTGAAAAGGAAAACTGTGGGAATTGACGTCACACAATTATCTCCCGATCCTATTGTAACTTATTTTTCATCAAAATCGTCAAAACGGTTGTCCGATTTTAATAAAATTCCATTCGTCGTTATAGGAGTCATCTTTTGCTGATGATAAAGAATATATGACAGCAAGTACTGTTATAATGTCGAAATGTGTCGGTGCACCTCATGACACACGTATGTAGTCACTCTACGTTAGCCAGTCTCAGGCATTTTCCATCATTTGTTGAGGAAGTCCATTGATTGATGGAGTCCGCCTGATGACAACACAGAACAGGAAGTCCATGATTTCTTGTATCTTCTGCCACATGATGACAGCCTTACTCATGCGACTTGCGACCCTACCTGTCAGCTGCCTCCCGGGCATCGTTGCGTTTTCCTGGGGAGGGTCGGCCTCACCCGTCCCACCGTCCTCCCCCTCAAGCGCACCGACAGCAAAACCTCTGTGGAGGTTTTTTTTTTTGAAGGAGGCAGATCCCTTAGTAAGCGGACTTCCTTTCCTGCCTCCACATGTACAGCGGCAACAGGTACCACGAATTTCATAATTATCAACATTCAACTGTTTTTGCCTTCATCCATGAACTGAGTTTGGGCAAAAAGTTTTTAAATGCATTTTTTTTTAATAAAGTTGAAGGCTTCGTGGAACCTGAAGTTGCCCCATTGACAAAAATGCCTGCAAAGAAGCAGCGTGGGGTCGCTCTGAGCACATTGGGCATATCTGATGGCACCAAGCACTGAATACAAAAAAAAAAAATCTCACTCTTTACCATGTCACATTCTTGGGAACTATTACATTTCAGCGGCAGTGGCGACGAATCCCTGGACGGCCTCACGAGCCGCATACCTCGCTGCTGCCCCCTGACACCATCGCTGTCACCCCAAAAATGCACCACCAGCCAGTCCCAAACTGTGCCCCCGCTGCTGAGGACCAACAAGAGGACCATCTACACAGCCGGCAGGCCCCCCTGGTACAACGTCACCGGGACCACCTTCAAGGAGGCCTTTGTCATCGGTGAGAGAGTTGAGATTGTTCGGTAAAAATATTAGAAACATCTTCGGGGTGACGGTGTCTGCGTCATTCAACCTTCATCAACTTTACAGGCCTCGCTGGGCAGCGAGATGCTGTTGCGCTGCAGCAGCTCATCCACGATGCTAAGTGCAGTGTGAAAATGCCGTGACCGTGTCTCAAATAACGTACAGTAATGTTCTCCTGTGCCTGCTTGTGTCCCCCCCCCCCCCCCCCACCCCCCGCCCCTCAAGCTGTGTCCGTATGTTTAAGCACTGTACACGCACGCAGGCGCGTTCACGGTTCGTTTTGCAGCTGCCGGGACTATTGTACGATGTTCATCAGTGCGTAAAACCTCCCACGAATGCACTTTTGTCCTTTCGTCTTTTTACTCCGAAAAAAAAAACGATATTAAATACACATCATGTTTATATGACTGTGTTTTGATGATTTCGGCAGTGGTGATCGCAAGGAAGGTGATGTCATCATAACAACACGATCGATATAGTAGTGTTGGATTTAGTGTCATTTGGACATCTTTGCAGGTGTTTTTTTTTTTTTTTCCTCCCTTGTGTGAGTTAATGTTCTATTCAAGTCCATGAAAGTCTTCCCGTATGGCTCGACGGGTATGGCTGTATAAAGAGTCTCCATTCAAGTCAGTGCTGTTCTTTGCGTAGGTCTGTGTGGAGGGAGTGCTTCTGGCAAAACAACTGTAGCCAATAAGATCATTGAGGCGCTGGATGTTCCCTGGGTGGTTCTGCTCTCCATGGACTCCTTCTACAAGGTACTCGACAGGTGGCGTGTGTCGTATCGAATGTGGAGAAGTCTACACACCCCTGTTCAAATGTGACAGAAGCAATAAAACCAAGATAAGTCAAGTCAACTTGCCACCGTTCATGTGACCTCGAACCTGTGCAACTCTTAAATGAAGTCAGCACGGTGACCCCAAATAAGCTGTTTGTGTGTGTTTTTTGTTTTTTTTTACACAAGGTACTGACCAAAGAAGAGCAGGAGCTGGCGGCCAACAACGAGTACAATTTCGACCACCCAGACGCCTTCGACTTTGAACTGCTGGTCAATGTCCTGCGAAAGCTGAAGAAAGGCAAAAGCATCAAAGTGCCCGTGTATGATTTCACGTCTCACTCCAGACGCAAAGAATGGGTATGTGTCACTTTTTACATTCAAACACAGTTCAGAGCAAGTGGGAGTTAAGGAAAAGGTGTTTCAAGAATTGCAATCGCGTGCTAAGAATATGTAATCATTTTTCATCAGAAACTGAACATTTTTGGCAATTTTTAACACCCCCCCTTCGCAAAAAATGCCGTTTTCATCAAAATTGGACATGTTTAGCATTCAATCAAATTATACAATCAAAATGTCAGTTTTGTGATTCTTCTTCAGAAACGTTTTTCTTTTTTTAATGGAAATCACATTTTTTTTAATTGTTTTCCCTTTTGTTTTTATTTACTTGTCGGCTTCCAAGTAATGATTTTTTTTCTCGCCCCAAAATAGCTTTTTTTGGGGTCACAGAAACATTTATTTTTGTCAAAATAGTTTTAAAAATCTGCCTAAATAATATCCTCATTTCCATTTGATTTTTTGATAATTTATCATCAAATTGTTGTCTTTTTTTGCTTACTTTTTTTGTGGGGCCAAGTTTCGACAGTATATTTTCCTTTAATTCATTCAATTTTTAAAATATATTTACCACTTGGTTGTTTTTTATTTTGTCAAAATTGTCAGTTGTCATTTTTGGTTTCAATCAAGCTCGTTGTCAGTTCTGGACATCATTTTCTTTTTTCAAAGTTCATTTTTGACCATTGACATCAAAACATTCCATTTCAGCAGATCTTTTCCATCGTGTTGGTGAGGTGTGGCTCTAAAGATCTGTTAAAATGTACAATTAAGACGCATGACACATAGATACTAATTGTGCTGGCGAAAGTGAATCTTTCTACAAATCTGCACTTTCACATTACGACTGGCTGTATAAAGAAAATCAGTAACATAACATTTCTTATTTCAAAATAACTTGTAGTCAGTCTTATCATCCTTGCTCCCCAACGTGTCACCAACATCATGTACAGATTTAAAAATCCTCCCAACAGCACTTCTTCCATTGACGTGCTAAAGTGCTAATTATCATAGCATTAGCGCAAAGCCCCCCTCGCGCACCCACGCGCACGCCCAAACTCGGCAGCGACGACTGTTCTCTATTTCTTGGCGATGTAATTTCATGGCTGAAAGGCACAAAGCCACATGGGAAATGGCCTGTCCGCACTCACAAATCCTTTTATGGGCGCTTTGGAGCGGCTGCTGGTAATTAAAAGCCTGAAACAACCCCCCCCCGTGTCTCCCCTTAAGGGTGCCGCATGCTCTCTTTTTCTCCTTCTTCTTCTGCTACGATGGTCCATCAGGAACTTCACTGTGGTTCAGGTGGTCACGCTTGAACGTGTTGAGTACGCACTAAATCAGGTGTGAGGAGAGGGTGCACTCACACACACACTCACACACTATATATATATCGCGGTCGATAAACACTCATCGGTTTCTTTACAATTCACATCAAGATTGCCGGCCGCTTTGTCTCTTCTCGGCTGCGCACTGTTGGTCAGCTTTATCGACTCCCACGCGACACTGATCGAGAACTGGCTTTGGACGGTGTTGTGCGCTCACCGCCATTTTCTCTTTGGAGCTCCGTTATAAACTCTTTGTCACATTGGCTGAATTTGATTTTAAAAAAACAAAACATTGATTTAGGGGGAGGACTGAGTGATTTTGTTATCCGAACCGTGCGTTTAAAAAAAAAAATAATAATAATAATAATTACCCAGCCCCCCCTCCACCTCATTAATATGCGATTACTTTTTTCTAGGTCTTCATCCCCTGTCATTTTTTTCAACAAACCCAAGCAATGAATCTGCGTTACAATAAATAATCAGATTTATTATCCATAAATAATTTGGTTTTATCTCCGCCTTACACTAAAATAAATCAAACCATAAATGAATTTGAAAGACGGTTTATTCTTGCTCTTCAGTTGGGAGTGAGCTTATAAAACACTTAGACTTGCAGACACGTCACAAAATTCTACTAAACAAGCACAGCTTGTAAATTAGATGACAACAATAATGCAAAACGTTCCCTGCTTTTTTTCCCTCCTTTCCAGAAAACTGTGTACGGCGCCAATGTTGTCATCTTTGAGGGAATACTGGCCTTTGCCAACAAGGAACTGCTCAAGGTTTGTTTGTTTTTT